CTACTATATGAGAGTGAACATTTCTGGAACAAAATTGTAGAGCAATAAAAATAGTAAAATGCCCTAATTGAAATTTAAATTTACGAATTTAGGTATACTAGGTGCTCTATAAAATTAGATACACCATAGAACCCAAAATTACCTGTAGGTTTTATTTTCAATTGTTAAATTTAAGTATTTAAGAAAATAAAAAGAAATCTATTTAGATATATGTATATATTTGTACATATCCATATTTTATGTGCATTTACGTAATAGGCTTTAAACCTTACCGTTGGCCCGCTAACGTAAAGGTTACCGAGTAACCTCAGAGGGGTGATTAACACAACGTCAATAGATAAATTACTTAAGAACATAGAAGTACTTATTTATGCATACATGCTTACATACAGACGTTAGTAATTAGGAATGCACATACAAATGCATGCATAAAAATACATATGTATATAATTATATGTATGTGGATTAATGCATTTACTGCATGTCTTGGGGTTATTAGCCTCCCTTTTCGCTAGAGTCATACTTTCATACGCATGTACTTTTACACCAACAAATATACAGATATTAATTTGCTAGTTTTTAATACACATATAAAATATATAACTGCATGTGTATGTGTGTGCGTGCGCAAGTTCGTCTTAGAGTGAACCGCATTAAATGCATTGACTGCGTTGACTTCTTCCGGCGCAAATTTGACACTGAGTAGGCAAATATCTTCGAGCGCACATACATTCAATTATATGTATATATGTTTGTGTGTGCGCACATGTGTTGTAAATGTGCAGTTGACTTTACTCGGGTTTCAACTGCAACATATCTTATATAGAAGTGCATACAAAACCGCTGCTTTGTTCGTATTTGCCAAATGCTGTACGGTCAGCCAACCAGTCAGACCGCGAACGAGTGAACACGGTGCTGCGGTGTGATGGTGGTGGCGGTGGAAATGCGCTGATTGCACGCCAAAATGCCGCATATTACGTATAAATTTCGAATCAATATGAGCGAGCAACAGCAGCAAAAATACGAAGTTCCAACAACAGCAACAATAGTAAGAGCAACAATAACAACAGTAATTCAGCAAAATTTAAAAAAAAAACCGTAACAGCAACAATAAAAACAGCAAGACCAGTCAAAGACAGCAGCGACGATGAAGAAGAAGAAGTAGCAGAAGCAAAAAAGCAAAGCAATTCAACTAAGGAATGCGGGGCCACATAAATGTCAGATAAAATGTTGATTGTTTTGTTTACAAAGATACTTTACGCTTCTGTATACTGCTGGCTGCCTGACAGCGAGCTACGGCATTCATTTACACATGTACATATGGATATGTATGTGTATTTTACAGGCTTACATACTTATATACATACATATGTATATGCGCTGGCAGCTACAACGCAGAGCTTGAGTGCGAGTTAAATAAGAATATTGCCTGATTAAGTCGACCAACAAGAGGTGTATTAAATAAATGAGCGCTCACACACACACACATACATACATACAAACAACTGCCGCTACACATATGCATGTCTGGACATACGCACAACCCGCCAACAAATAAAGACAAAAAGTTAACGAGAAATAAACACAAAAACACCACGAGTAAAAATATTTTCAACAGATACACCAACAAACATTCGCACACATAAAAAATAATCTAAAAACATGCACAAATACACGAACACATTATAAACACTGCTCAGTGCAAAGCCAGTGCATTTTGTTGTTGGCGATTGGAATGTGGCCGCACGGGCACGCAAACATAAACACACACATACATATACATGTTAATGCACACAAAGCCAACAACAAGAATTCGTACAAAAACATTACAGCTATGTAGTACAGCGCAAACGACAGTAGCGACAGCAATAGTCAACGTCATTCAGAGGAGTCGTTGGTCGCTCATTCGGGGCGCACACCTGCGTCCTACGCCCGCAACGCTTTTCGACAGTTTTAAAATACATATTTAGTTGCTTAGTAAGTGATCGTAGTGAATGCGCGATCTGCAGCGATTCGCCACTCAGGCGCTGTTACCACATACCTACCGCTTTATTTGAATCGAATATACGTGTGTACTACATAAGCATAGACATTTAATTCGTGTATGTGTGCGTGAATATGTGTATGTATGTATGTGTGTAGGTGTACTCAGGCGATACTCTTGAGCCAAGGTGGCTTGCAGGAAATCGACTACTCTGTGTTGCGGGGCTGATGGAGTTCAGTAAGCAAAATAAGCTGTCTTTGATTCATTAAGCATTGGAGGGTAGCTAATCGAGCACATTATGTTAGCTGCTCAAACGGACTTATGATAAAATATTCGCACTAAAGCATTAGTTGGAAGTACTGAGTCTTTTGGCAGCTCAGAAAATAAATAAACGAAAAATATTGAATTAAAACTGGATAAGGTCGAACCACTCTGTGCTCTTGTTTTATATGTGCAACTTCCGAGACATAGTCAAGAAACCCTCGACCAATAGTTGCGATTCCACATATACAAAGTCTAGCATTTGTCATTTTAGCCATACATTAAAGCCAAACGTTTCTAAAATCTATAAAGTAAACATCGAAGAAACCAGTTATAACACTTTAATGTGATAAATATCCGCATACTCTCTTGTAACAAATTTAACTCCTAACTTTCTTACCACTCATATACAAGTATATAAACTTTTTTTACGAGAGAGCAGCGTTCAAAAGCGATTAGAAAAATGGCGAATCGATAGCTACACATTTATATTATTTTCTATTCCTTGTTAAACGGTTTATTTGTCGTTTTATATTGACTAAGTTTGATTGATTAATTTTGCGATCTAAGAAGAAATGTATATTTTCTTTTTTCCTCGACTAAGTAACTTTAATCCGTATCAATTAAGCGAAGAATTTAATTTTATTGCTTTCAACTATACACATGTTTTCATTTAACTCATAATTGTTTTACAGAAGATTTCTTCTGTTTTAGCAAACTAAACTTATTTACATCACCTCCTCTGTTACCCAATGGCTTACTTGAATATCAGACTTTACAGTCACAAAGAGATACCCATTATTTACTACAGTACATATTATCTGCACTTTACTTTAGTGCATGTAGCTGCCGAAGTAATTCCTACAGGTCACGCAATTTCTGCATACATACATATATGTACATAGATACTCCCGGTCAGGCCAATAAAAAGTATCTCATAGATGGTTTTTGTTTTTACAACTAGCTACAGTACTCTCTCATTCTCTTGGCTGGTTTTCGCTCATACGCTTTTCTCAGCACCACTCGACAGTCTTTCGACAATGGCGCCACCACGTGGCCTCAATGTGCAACAAGATTGGAATGCTAAAATGATTAAATGAATTGATTGTATTATCGTTATTCAGTGACTGAAATGGGCTAATTTAAATATTCTATTTGCTGCCCTTTATTTTTATATATAATAGCTATATTAAAAATGACAATATATAACTTTATTCTTGTGGGTAGAAATAGTATTTCGGTTCTGTTGTATAAGTTTACTTGCGAAGAGCATTGAATATCTAAAATATTTATAGAAAATTTTGCAAACGCTGTGAGAAGAGGGTACAAATAAAAAATTTACACATATAAATACAAATTCTTATATGTGTATAATTTGTTTATCTATTGAGTTAAAGGTTAAAAAAAGCGTGCTCTTTCGTGCTAGACTATGCAATTGCTATATTTTTGTTAGAGTTAGTATTTAAAGGGAGTCTCAAGAGAGTACTTGAAAATGTTGCCACATGAACTGAGATGTACATAGATACGTTGTCTGAATAGCTAGGTACTGTACAGCGTTGAAAACTTTCATTATGTAGGGAAGATGGTCTTGAGTTCATTTTCAGTTTTTAGTAAAGAGACGGTAATGATATTTCGACTCCCATGAACACGGCCAAAATCGTCTTCGAATGAAAAACATACTCAACAGACCTTGATCCCATTTTAGAGTAATTGAAAATTGTCAAAAAAATATAGAGTCCGTTAAATTCAGTATAACGTTTATACTATTAAAAATTGGAATATAGTGATACTTAAATATACCATTCCATCCTTTTACTAAGCCCGAGCTAAGTTTTGGGAGTAATCGTACTTAAGAGGCACACCTAGTGTAACAGCCTATAAAAAGAAAGATTTGTGAGAGTTACAAAAACCAACTAGCGTAAGATTATATTTATACATACTTAAGAATACACAGGCAATTTTTTAAGAAAAAATTAAATATGTTTCGAGTTTTACGCGATCTTCGGCGGCGCTCCACTGTCGCAGTGATTCCGGCCTTCTAAGTGAATGAAATCTGAAGAAAAAAAATTTCACTGGAATATATTGTCCGTACAATGACCTAAGGTCAGTTTTAAAAGAAAGGGTTGAATTTTACCCAAAGTTTTGGCTGTTTTTGGCCTGCCTAAATTGGATTTTGGATCAGTTCAAAAAACTGGTAACTTATTGTATGTGGAACCATTTACAGAATATGCAGAAAAAGTTGATTATGATCGGATCATATGTTTGCGAGTAATCGCAGCAGCAAATCGTGTCGAGAAAAACGCGTTTGAAAATAAGCTGATTAAGCTCATTGAACAAATCGGTTACCTTAATGTACTAGCACGAAGACGTTGATTGCGTTGCTCTGAATTCTAATTTGCAAAAAATTCATTGTTAAAACATTATCTAGTTGAACGAATCGTGAATCTAAACCATTCTCAAATCTTGATTTCATCAGAATCGGTCCAGCCGTTTAGAAGGAGTTCAATTACAAACACATGTCCAGAAGATTTATATATGTATATAAGATAAAAAATTTTTACCTATCGTGGTTACATCCAAAGATAAGAACATAATTGCCAATTACTGATCTTTGCTACGTTTTTGGACTTGAAAACCTTTGACGTTTCAATATCGCGACCCACTAATAATGAGCTTCCTTACTGACCCTGTCATACTTGTACCATTTTAAAAGTATTAATACTGTATATAATCAATGTGGCAACGCCAATTGATTATTTGATCACTCATTCTCAACTACCGCAAGTGCAAATACTCACTACCACACTCAAAGTGCCTTCCTCCAGCTAAACGCAACGGAATTGCCTCCAAAGCAAATGGGCACGATCAATGCGATCATACCGTGTTCGTAGCTCGTAACATAAGCGACTCGTTTTTAAAGTTGTAGCTTCGTTGCGGAAAGTGCTCGCTGACTTAAGATACAACAAAAATAGTTATCTTTAAGATATACTATTAACACCAACAACACCATCGAAGATATAGATATGCGAAGAAAATGAATTAAATAACATAAATACAGTTTAGTTTAGAAACTTAACAAGTGAAGCGAAAGAAAAATGCAAATAATGTTTAACTAAAAACAGTGAGTTTTGAAATAAATATTGTGCAAGCTCAGTAAAAATAGTATATAGAAATCAACAGTAAATCTAATTAGAAAATTACAAAAAAACTGTAATCATTTGTGAAACGCACAGGAAAAATGACATACAATTGTTAAAGAAAAATACCAGAGCAACAGGAATTTGCCCTCAAACAAATATACAGCAGCACGAGAAAACGTACCGATCAGTGCACAATTGTATACATACCTACACACACATACATATTTTTAAAATGAAAAAATAATAAATAATTAATTTTTTATGGAATGGAATGCAGCAACAGAGATAGCGCTAGCTGCCGACGCCTGGGGGCCGTGCGCGTAAACGAGATGCCGACAAGTTGGAGCAGCACACGAATTCAATTTTGAAACGATCCAACAGTGAACAGTGAACATCGTCGTACAAGAAACAAAAACGCTAAGCACGCGCGCGCGCAGTTAGGGAGAACGAAAGTATGGTGTCCATGCATGCCTAGGTTAGTGTGTTTATATGAGAGAGTGAGAGACGCTCAACGCTTGTTGAACCAGCGCGTACATAGCGCGGCAAAGTAACGCGAAATCGACGCGATCAACGTGGAGCGCAACCAACCGACTGCGTTAGTGTGTGAGCGCGTTTCATATTGCGCGCCGTGTAGCAACGCGCAGAGCGCGCCACCAAAATAACGCCTCAACCGCCCGCGCCTATTACACACACAACCACACATGCACATTTGCTCTACTGGCACCAAACAACCATCAGCAGCCAGCAGTCAGCACCGAGCAGCCATCGTGGCTAAATTACATACAGCTATCTAGCCGCCAGTCAGCTATAGCTAGATAGCGCGCTAACGCCCGCAACGCCATCTAACTGCTTGTACATACACACATGCACTATAGCGAGTAGAGCGAACGCGCCTTTACTCTGATTAGTAGCGTTTGGAGTGAGCGCGTCGTGTACAAGGCGAGGAATTTTTGTGCGCGACTCACGTATTTAAATAAATTAATATATTTATCTAGTGTGCAGTAGATATTTATATATATGCGTTTTGTTTTGATTATGTAGCGCTGTGTATCTAACGGATGGTGTGTTACATTCACAATTTGCATATCTACCATACATACATATGTACATATACATACATATTTACAAGAGTACATGTCATTTAGCGATACGCGCGTGTCTTGAGTGAACGATTTATATACATATACATATATTTATATATTTGTTATAATAATCCAATGCCGTAAATCACAAGTGAATGGAGTGCAAAGTGAAAAAAATCACTTATACTAATTTGTTTCAAATAGTTTGAAAACAACTGTGCTGAATTCCAAATAATTTCAAATCAAGTGCCAGCCAGGCATTATAAAGTGAAAATTGTGCAAACAAAAGAGCAAAAATTGTGAAAATTAATTGAAAGTTTGTGAAAAAAAAGTGGTGTATCACATTCAAAATATAGCGGGCTGTTGCCGCCCCACAGCTTAATTGCCCATTCATCAAAAATTTTACCGCTCCGCTCAACTAGTTTATTAGCGCTCGCGATTACAAATTGCAGTAGTGCAGCAGCAACGCCCAAAGCGCTCACATAAATACTGTACATTTCACCGAATTGAAAGACGCGTCTCTAGCGCTGCCCTATATCCGCGTGCAAATACTTACGCGAGCGTTATCGTCTGCCAGCAACAGATAAAAAGATAACAGCCAGTGCAACCAGAAAGACAGACAACAGCGAAATTATTAGTGCGGCGAATATGTTGTCGCCAGCACAATTCCAAACCCCATCGCAAACATCAAAAACAACAACACCAATAAAAGCATTCACAACGTCATCACTGTCGTTGCCATCAACGTTAGCGCGCGAATTGCTGTTGTGGTAGTCTACGGCGCTGTCGTAAATTGCCTGCATTTGACAGTCATTTTCGTTATAAAAGCTTGCAATAGCAACAAAAAGAGCAGCAGTATCGCGCTTAGTGACAAATTTCAGACAACATTTGCAACAAAAATAACTGCTTTCAAGCAAAAAACAAAAAAAAAACACAATAAATAGCAACAAGCGCCTTTTAACTTAGTCGTATTTTGTTGGTTTTGCTGCCATTTATGAATTAGTGCAACGTTCACATATAAATAGTTGTTGCTGCTGCATATACATTTCCACGTTTATATTTTAAGTGACGCCTTGCGCCGCCCAGTTGCACACGCCAACAGCCACTGCTCACTGGTGAACGCACGCAGAACCGCGTCAGCAGCCGGTGCCACCGTTTTTCTTGGCAATCATAAAAATTTTCTCGTCGACAACGTGCAGAAATTTCAAATTGAAATTATGCCAAAACAACAGCCACAATACCACCACCACCACCATCTTCAACAACATCAACAACACATTCACCATCAGCAGCACAATCACACAACGACACATCATGGCGAGTATCCACTGCCAGATGGTTGGGACATCGCCACCGATTTCGATGGGAAAACCTACTACATCGATCATAATACGAAGAAGACAACGTGGCTGGATCCGCGCGATCGGTATGTAGCCAAATTGACACCAAAAGTAAACATATACAACCATATGTGTTAATATTTACATATACATACATACATATATCCATATACATAGATGCATGTATGTACATATGAATATGCTTAGTTGCATAAAATCACTTGCTCTGTGAGTTAACCATTAGAAAATACAAAACCTATACTGTATGTGTTTGAATATATACATACATATAATCGAGTTTATTTGCGATTTTGCGAAACCAATCACATACACACATATATATACATATATTTTATATATATATGATATATTTATTTAGCAGGTTTTTTTTTGTTTAAAATATTTATTGCAACAATTTTATCATAAAGTATTTTTGGTATATTTACGGTTTCTCAAAAAATCTTAAAAATTTCCCCTTATGTATATTATTCGGCACAATTTGCATACTCTTTTGTCTACACAAAGTTTTTTAATCTCATTTCCAACATTAGCTGATAGTGGTACACACGTTTCTGAGAAATCGTTCAATAAGGCTAATTCTAGTTGTAGTAGGAGAAGTACCCTAACCTTCTTAATTAGTGCTCCGCACCGAATTTCCCACCACTCTTATTATGAAAGCTTCTGACATAAGCATTCGATTTTAGTCAGTTAATGACTGCGTTCTAGAGAATTAAACCACTGATCGTGGAAGATCTTTTGTAAGGTTTTTTCATTGATTGTGTACTTCAAGTTATTTTTAACATACTCGCACTCGATTCGAGCATTTTGCATTCATTATGTCAACATAAAAAATCGTTGAAGTCTGAAACAATTACCATCTTCGATCCAAACTCCTCTGCTCGAGAAATTCAAAAGTGGTTATTACTCTTTCATACTTAATAAGCTAGATTTGACGAATTTTTTGGAAAACTTAAAATTTATATAACAGAAAAAAAAAAATATCACAAAAAAAAAAAAGGTAATTTTTATAAAGTGGCTGTTTGAAAGATATATTTTTATTTAATGAATAGCTCATTTTAACTAGTATGATCCGCTATTTTTTTAAGGTATTGAGTTTAAATCGAAAATCTGAATTTATTTTCTTCTCAAAACTACTTTGTTCTAACTTTATGGTATGATTAATACTCAACTTCAATATTTCCCGCAGCCAAGGTAAGTCAGCCTGTCAACTTCCAGTCCCTGCAATATTTTTAGTTAACACTGTTGTGTAGACGTAGTGTTAAAAAATTTCAAAGTGAATTTTGAAAAAAATCGTTTCTTTTCATGTGCGTGTAAAAATATGTATAAATAATATTAATTAATCTGTTTAAGCAACTCATACTCGTTGCATATAGTATTTATGAGGCAATTTAAATTTCTGCAATCAGGCTGGCTATACATACATATGTCGTACCAGCAAATATGCATGTGAAAAAAGCCCGTCTCTCCCATTTTTCAGTGTGCGCACTTTCAATACAGAAGTGTTATGTACAAGATCTTAATTATACCCTGAACAGGGTATATTAAGTTTGCCTTTGTATTTGTGAAAGGTATTACAGCTTCGGTGCAACCGAAGTTAACGTTTTTTCTTGTTTTTTATTATTATTTGAAAATCGGAAGCAAAGCGAGCACACGCACTATTTTCATAACTCACGCGCATATTTGCAACTTTACATACATATGTACATATATACATTTGTGTAGTATAGTTTCATATTTACATGCTGGCAGCTGAGAAAATTGCTTTAGCCAGTGCGTAAACACAATTTAAAAGTAACAACACATGGCATAAATATTCGCAATTGTTTATAATTAACCTGAGCATACACGTATGTGCTCTATACACACACACATATATATATGTGTATGTGTATATGTATATACAAAGTTATTTATGTACAAATTTGTTGCATACGTTCGCTTGTTGCGAAATGCGTGCGTTCATGAGTTCAAGCGAACATCTGTGTGTGAGTGTGGCAAGCACCGTTGGGGTGCAACGGTGTTATAGGGGGCATTGATAGTTTTATTTAAGGAAATTTACAAAAATGTAAAATAAAAACAATTTTTCATAAAAGACATTAAAGCGTTGCTATGCGTCTGCTTAGCTTATTTGCAACTGCAACATATGTATATATCATAGTAGTTGTTATTGCTAAATGCATACATTTGCACACAGTTTTTCAATTTTCAGTTTTCTTGATTTTCTTGCAAATTTTTCTCCACTTGTTTGCCGCTCTACTGCACACATATCTACAAATATCTATGTGTTTGTGTGGCGGCCGCCACACGCGTGTGCTCATTGCCTGCAACAACTGTATAAAATTGCTTGTACTTGTTGTTTGTGTAAATGCCTCCACACGAATCCACATTCGAGTTCAACTATACTTGGACTCTTAATCATCGCATTGGAATGTTTTGCTTAATTCTCTTCTTCTTGCGAGTTGTCGGCTTTTTGTTGTTATGGTTCCTTTTTCATTTATTTATTATTTCTGTTTTCGTTTTCGTTTACGTTTTGGTTTCATTTCATTTTCATTTATTTCAACTTTTCCAACATGCTGATCGCCCTCGAAACACACACACGCACACACATATACGTGTGACTAATTGCGCGTGTATGCGGTCTCGAATCACACACTTTTTCAAACCGACGTATGACTCTAAATATAACATAAACAAATTTACACATGAGTGTACATCAGAAAATACAATTATATATGAATATATTAGTTTGAAAATTTGTAACTCCATATAAGTTTGTAGACATTCCACAACCTACACACACAAAGTCACTCAAATGCACACATATTGCCTCGCCGCCTAAACGCTCGTCTGTCTTGTCTGTCAAGTAGCTCCAGCCTACGAGTTTTCTTCAGCAAATGAATCGAAAACGCTTTTTGCCTTTGCTCTTCACGCCTCTCCGGTAGGACTGTGGACACTGCGGGTATGTGTGTGTTGGTGTGTGAGTTGTGTTGTTCGTGGAAGCAGCCGTACTTGTAAAATGATTGGAATGTGCACTCATGCATTGAAAATTTTAGTTTTTGGAATTCAGAATTTTTCCGCTCATCGCATTTAGTGCACTTTGATGTCGAGTTCAAAGGGGGTTAAAGAAAAAATTAGAGTGAAATTGAATTTTTTTAGATGAAACATGGACATACGTTCGTTAATTAAGTAAGAAGTATTTGTAGGTAATTTGTATCTCCGTTTGGAAATAATAAATTCTTGGAACATATTTTTAAAGTGAAGGGTTTATGCTTAAAACAGGGATCTTATGTTAGAACCTAAAATATTAAAAGAACTTAGCAATTTATTGTAATATTCTATTCGGATAAGTTTGATCAATTTATTTTGGAAAATTATATTTTACATGTAAATGGATGCAAATTTTGAGAAAATGTATAAAAATAGTACGTTCATCATTAGGTTTAACTTTGTCAGTTGAAATTGCTTTTATTTTACTTAGCTATTTTATATTTCTACATAATAATCGCAAATATTTTTCAATGTGTAGTAATTTACGATAATTAATATTTTTTTTCTTGTTAAAATATATGGTTGCTTTGATGAAGTTTGTGAAAATGTCAGGTTTTATATAGGGTTTTTAACGAAATATTTCTGTAGTTTATTTCTCAAGGAAGGTGACACTAAAACTTTTCATGGCAGCTTTCAAATTTTACACTTATTATTATAAGTATACAATATTTTTTCTGAATCAGTGCGGATAACTTTTTTACTATAGAAATACTTGTTCTTATAAAAAATATAATCACATTTGTTTACAATATTAAAGCAGACCTTATAAGCGTCTTTAGAAATCATCTTTCAACAATAATTACTTTTAGAAATCATTTTTAAGTGTAAAAAACAGACTCATGGATGTGATAACCCTCTTTCGTTATTTTGGAAAGATAATACACAAACGAGGTTATACTTCTCAACCTCCAACGTTGCGCCTCAATAATACATCCACTGCAGAATCAAATAATCCTCGACATAAAATTATTTTTTAAAGGGCAATGAAAATTTTTGATGAAAGATTGTCAAATTCTCTAAAAAAAATTTCTTACATGAAAGAAAACATTTTTCCTAGTAGGGATGAAGATTCTTAATTTGAACAGAAAATATTTTTTTTAGAGATGTGAGGAACTTTGAGCAATGATGTTGGATATTAATTTGAGATCCACATATATATATACATATGTATCTTATCAAAGGTTGAAGAAATAATTTTCAATGTATGTTTTTTATGTGGATTAATAAGAAAAAACCAGAGTCACTAAAGTATATTATTTTAAAAATTTCCGAAAAATATTTAAAAGGAAATACTCTGAATATGAAACACTATAAAAGCACGACAAAATCTTATATAGAGCTTACTCATTAACAGCTGATGAAAGATCTTTTGAGAAAAAGTATGTATTTATGACTATGTACAAATATATTAATAAATGCATATACAAATATATGTTGGTGTGCTTAATCCCGAAACTCGAGAGAAAGCAAATTGATATGCTCATACTTTTAGTTTTATTCACTAATTATACATTCGAGTGAGTAATTCTTAATTTTCTCACCTCAAACACACTTCGGACACACTTTCGATCACACTAACGGCCTTACATATGTATTGTATATAAATAAAAATGCATTAAAATGCTGTCATCAATATTGTGGTCTTTATTTCTGTCATAATGTAGCGTATTCTATTTACAATCAATTTCCCTTGAAAAATATGAGAAAAATAAAATTAGTTTTAAAGCTTATTGGATTGATAAAAAAAAATATTTTCACAACCAAAATTTTGATTTCTCGTATTTCATTTATTATAGTGTGTTTTTCAGCGTGTTAATTGACACTCATAGCATAACTAAACTGTTTTCAAGCGAAGATAGCGCAACAGAAACAGAAAACACAATAAAATCAGCAAATAATAACATTAAATTAGACATCCAGCTGCAACGACAAGCCAAACAATGCAGACATCTACATTGTCAGCGCATTACATACATATACGAGTAAAGTAATTGTTGAGCGCATAATTTAACTTTTT